CTGCTGTTTTTGAAAATGTTAACTAGATATCATTAAAATAGAAAGTTTACAGTTTACGTACATAATCATAACTTGAAGATCTGTTTTGAAATAGTGACGATAACTGTACCTAAAAAGTATATAAATTTTAACATTGTGACATACCACCTTAACACTCTCAAAATCATTGATTAATGACCCCTATTAATGAATGATTTTCTATTAATGAACGATTTCATTATAGGCAACACAACATACATTGCTTGCATAAATTAATTAAACGCTCTGTGATTGGCAGTGACCTGTGGTGTAGGCAACCAAACATATACCTATTTGTATTCCCACTAAACAAATTTAAAATGAAGTAGCCGCTGTTAGTACGATCTGTCATTGTATGTCATAATATTTACTTTGAAAAATCAAAAGATGGATATTGACGAATAGTTTAATTTAACTTCACCAGAAGTGGCAGAAACTGCAAACGAAATCATGTCTGAAAAAAGCAGAGTGTTGTACGAAAAAAAAATACGCTGAATTTATTGCATGGTGTGACGAGAGCAAAATAATACGATATTCAGAATCTAAATTGTTGACATATTTTTCAAACATTGCCGAATAAGGACTAATAGCAAGTTTGTGACCCAAATATTCGATGCTAAAATCAACCTTAAATTGAAAATCAAACATTGATACATCTAAATATAATAAGTTAAATTATGCTTATCAAAAAAAAAGAACAAGTTATGTACCAAAGAAATCAAAAACACTTGAAAAGGAACAAGTCCAAAAATTCATCTCTGATGCTCCTAACGACGAGTTTCTAATGATAAAGGTAAACCCATAAATTAAGTTCATATATTTAATACTCGTAATTCATAACATTTCATTTTGTAGGTTGCATTGATTTTCGGAGTGGCTGGTGCGTTAAGAAAGGACGGACTATTGAAATTAGAAACAAATAACGTTCAAGACTTGGGGTCAAAGTTTCTTGTCACAATAAAAGTTTCAAAATCACATACAAATATAATATTTACTATAGTAGATAACGAAGCAAATACCATTCTTAATGCGATCAAAAACTATATTTCTTTAAGACCGGCACACACACACACACACACACACACACACACACACACACACACACACACACACACACACACACACTCACAAACGCGCGCGCGCGCGCTCCACATAAACGATTTTTCATTTTTTATAGAAATAACAAATGTTCCACACAGCCAGTTGGCATAAACACGTTTTCCAAAATTCTTAGAGCACCCGCATCTCTACACTGGACATTGTTTTAGACGTTCCTCTGCCTTAAGACTGTGTGACAGTGGTGCATATTTTTCAGCTAGTAAAAGACTAGGTGGCTGGAAATCGACTGCTGTAGCAGAGGGTTATATAGATAATTCTATGCAGAATAAACTTGAGACGGCTGAAAAACTCTTGCGACAAAATACCACTTACCCTTGTCAAAGTACTTCCTCCAACACCAACGCTTCTTCTTCTATCACAGAATTTACAGAGGTCCAAGAAGACTTTAATATAAATTTGACAAAATGCTATACAACAGATAATCATTGATCAATACCTTCCTTTAAATTCAGTAGTTGTGATATTTCGAATATTAATTTTTACAATAAAAAAACTACCACTAAGGAAAATTAAACTTTGAATAAAGTTAATGAAAGCTGAAAAAATTGTTGTTTATCGTAAAGTAAATAAAAATTTAAACTAAGATATTTTTATTTCTGAACAGTACGGTCTACGGAAAAGTTTTGTAACGAACTCGTGAATTAAAATGGCGATTAACAATCTGGAACATTAACGCGCTCGGTCTTTAAAATATCTCAATTGTTAATCGCCCATGTTTACGCTTTGTGTACACTATCGCCGTTGTGTACTATTGTTTTAAATTTTCGAAATGGAAATTGAAACGTCAATAAACTTATTTTACACGTAAATTTTGACTTACTCCCATTAAAAATAATAATTGCATTCTATTTACAGTTTTAAAATACTTTCATTCAAATTTTTATTCAGCGGCAGTCTTTGTTGGTGTATTATTTTTAAGCTTTTTACATGCTTTATCGCAGATATTATTTACATTTACGTTTTCTGTACAAAAAATTATGAAACATTTCAAAAATCAAAATTACTAATATTATGGTTAGTTTTGATATTTTGTATACCTAAAAGGCACGCCCTCGTTAGGTGTACAAATGGACTCTTCCGCTGTGACTGTATAAATATGAAAATGTTTTACTAATAACTCTTTTTATCTCACTTTACTACAATATCAAAATAATAATCAAAAATCCAACATTTTATTTATATAAATTAAATTTATGTAAAATTATGAAAATATAAATAAATATAATTTGTTAGTAAATTTAATTATTATATAAACTAAAGAATATGTTTAAAAATAATAATTGTATTTAGATGAAATTATTTTAAAACGAAAATTAATATATATTTAAACAGATGATTTAATTTGGTTATTAATCAGATGACATTTATGACTTTTATTAAATTTTGAAAATCGTTACTACTGGAATCTTTTAGTGACAGATATTCTTTTAATTTTTTACTTTTTATTTAATGTTTATATTTTGTTAGTTATTTTTCATGTAGTTTTTAATTTAAACCTGCGCAGAATAAATATATGATGACTAGAAATGTATTGATCATTAGTATTGAATTAATTTCAAAAACCGCTATTCTACCTGTGATCACGCCATACCCCATCTTGCAGAAAAAAAGGAATACAACGCCAGTATAGGAGCTTTGCTTCAAAAATCATTTCTTCCGTTCATCATTACGTTCTTTCGACGTAATATGACCCGGTCACGACAGAGACCTGGAAAGAAGAACGGATAGAAATTACAAAAACAACTTTTCTTAAGGTAAATACCTTGAAGTGATTGCAGCCTCAGAATAACTAGCATGTTTAGTTTTGTCAAATGCTACTGTACTCTGCCTTTCTGTATGGGGTAGAGCCTTGTACAAAGTCAGTAGGTACAACGAATCGCTTTAAGTCCTTCGAAATGTGGATATACCAGCTTATCCTTAGAATGACTTGGGTTGATCACCAATGTGGTTTTAATCGGTGTCAGCCACCGGTGTTTCGTTTGCGCGACTGACGAACCACCGGTGTCGGACACCAGCCTCTTTTACTGAAAGGGTACTTAATCACCGCAACACGTTACCGTCCTCACCTACTAACCAGCCAATTCAACTAATTTCGATTATAGTTTAGAAGAAAATAAAAGCTATATTTATCTGAGAAAAAGAGGGATTCTCAATGACGTATAAAACAAGATAAAACGGTAATGTGAGTAAACCCTTTAACGTTCACAATATAACCATTTTAATGTTTATATTTAATGTTAGTAGATACTAAATTCGAGAGCAACAATCAATATAACCCGTAATAAACTATATATCCGAGGAAAAAAGAAATTCCCCAAAGGGTTTAAAATAAAATGAAAGAAAAATCTAGAGAGTTCGTTTAATTTTGTGCATATACATAATTCAATGACATAGATAAAGTATTAGATAGTAAAGTGTTAAAGTAAACTAAAGAAAAATTAATTTATTAATAAAAACACTAAAATTAACAACTAAAGTGAAGTAGAACAACAAGTGCATGAGAAACCATTAGAATACGACAAACCAAAATATCCATGTTTTGTGGACCTTAAGCAGGCATTTAACCTGGTCAAATTAAAGGACGTTATCCACTTATTGTACGCAAGAGAGATACCTCTAGGAATAATCAAAACGATCGAAAATATCTACCAAAATAACACAATAAAAGTAAAAGTAGAATAAGAACTAACCGACCCCATTGAAACTGGCAATGGGATAAGAGAGGGAGATTCCCCAAGTCCTCTATTGTTCAACCTGATTAAGGATAAAATAATAAAAAAAAGTAAGAACTAAAAAAGGATACCAAATGTGAGAAAAATAACTTAAAATAATCTGCTATGCAGACGATGTAATACTACTCACTCAAAGTGAACATGATTTACAACGTATGCTACACCAATTTAATATAACCTTTAAAAAATTTAACATGCTAATTTCCCCAAAAAAAAGACAAAATTATAAGAGCAAATATACTAAGACGTAAATTGGAGCTGGAAGGCCAGATAATAGAACAAGTGACGAAGTTTAAATATCTAGGCATCATATTATCTAGCTACGGAAAACTCGAAACTGAAGTGGAAGATCAAGTGAATAAAGCAAACAGAGCCGCAGGTTGTCTGAATGAAGAAACACGACCTGACATTGAGATAGAGAAAGAGACGGAGAGAGACAGAAAGAGAAAGGACAAAAAGGATGATAGAAACAGCAGAGGTGAAATCACGTAGACCAACAGATGGCAAGACACTATGGGACAGAGTTAGAAGTACAGACATAGGGCGTAGATACAAGGTGGAGAACATCAAGAACTGGGTCAGAAATAGAAGAGTAGAATGGAACAATTATATAAGTCAAATGACAACAAATAAAGTAGTAAAGAGAGCAAGAGATGGTTCTCCAATAGGAAGACGAAGAAGAAGAAAAAGTAAAGGTTATAAATATTTCAAAAAGATATTAAATTTATTTTTCGGTTATAATGCTGAGAAAAAATTTTTATAAATAAAATCTAACTATTACTACGACCTAACCTAATCACAATAACAGATATATATATGTATATATATATATATATATATATATATATATATATATATATATAAATTATTTTTTCTGATTTATTCGTTACCTGCTGTTTATAATCAACGCAGCTATTGAATAGGAGATAGCTGATTTAAATTTCATATATCATATATTGTTGAACCGAGCATCAAATTTGTTTTAAATATTTCTTTTCCCATAATTGTCATATTTTTCTGTATTTCAATATTTGTCTGTTATTTTATAATATGTTATTCACAAGTTTTATAAATAACCAACAGTGTTAGTAAAATTATACTTAATTTTTATTTTTTGGTTTTGTTTTATAGTAATGATAAATGTGCAGACCTTGAAGAAGCGCCCTGTAAAGGTTTAGGAGTTCCATGCGATGAAGTTGAAGCTAATGAAGATGTTAATAATAAATGTGAAGACTCTGAAGAAGCACCTTGCAAATCTTTAGGGATTCCATGTTGCCAAGTTAAAGCTGACGAAGAAGATGTTATTCTAGACACAAAACAAGATTTACCTTTAGAAGAAAAAATTGATGTTGATGTTAATCCAGATATTATTGGTAAATAAAATATTAATTTTATCATGGAGCAAAAAGACAAAAGAGGGAATCTAATCGTTATGAAAAGTAGACCAAAAAAGTGGCATCTGATGGGGGACATATCCGGAAATACGAATGCGCCAAATTTAAATTTCATGACACTTCACAATAATTATACAGTGGTGTAGGGGTTCTAATTTATCTATTTATTTATTTTATATCACATAATATTAACACATAATACACTTAAAATACTTTTTTTAACATTAGAACACAATAAAGTTTTAATTAAATAATATCGATAATAGTCTAAAATGTGAAACAATTGTTAAAAAACTTCAATAGAAAATACAAATAATTTTTCACAGCAATTAAACATCAGCAATAACATAACCCAACTAAATTTGATTTCTTAAAAAAGAAAGAGACTCTCTTTCCTTGTTTAATATGGCCTCTCAAGATGGCACTTCCTGTCTAACAATATTTTTGCCCCCACTACCTTTACATCCCCTCTTTTGTTTTTTTGCTCGATGGATTTTACATATTTGCTTAGGGACTTTTCACTTTATGAAGTTTAGTTTTATCTGCTAGTTAAGAGACCTAAAAATAAATTTATTGTATCACAATTGTGAGACTACTTCTTGTAGTTCCTTCTTCTATCGAAGGTTAGCTATCATCACAGCTATCCGTACTTTATTGACGGCTACTCTGAAAAGATCTACTGAGATGCAACAACTATCCGTACCATATTGGCGGCTGCTCTGAAAAGATCTACTGAGCTGCAACTATACCACTCTCTTAAGTTTCTTAGCCAGAAAATTCTTCGTCTTCCTATGGATCTTTTACCCTTGATTTTACCTTCCATTATGAGCATTAATATCTCATATTTCGCACCTCTGGGTATATTTCCTAAACATTCCAGCTTTCTTGTTTTGATGTGCTTTATGACCTCGCAATCCTTTTGTAGCCTTCTTAACACTTGTGAATTTGTAACTCGTTGGGTCCTAGGTATTTTCAAAATCCTTCTATAGCATTACATCTCAAATTATTCTAACTTATATTATCCACTTTGAGTGTCCAACTTTTCATTCCATACAACACAGTCAAGAACACGTAGCATCCTAAGGCTCTTATCCTCAGCTCCAGAGAAAGGTTTCAATCAACAAACATTATTTTCATTTTTATAAATGCTTGTCTTGCAATTTCAATGTGTGTCCTTATTTCTCTACCTTGGTCATTGTTTTCTTTTACCCAGGTTCCCAGATATTTGTAATTATTCACTCTTTCTACTTGTTTTCCCTCGATATCTAGTCTTTCTACTGTATATTGCTTAGAAATAATCATGCACTAGCTTTTCTTAACGTTCATTTGTAGTCCACATTTTATACTGATTTGATGTAATATATTTACTAAGCATTGCAGTGCTTCTGCAAAAACAGCGGTGTCGTCTGCGAATCTTATGTTGTTCAAGATTTTAACGTTTATTGATATACCCTGTTGTTCCTCTGATATTGCTTCCTTAAAAAAGCTTCGCTGTACAGATTGAATAATAAAGGGGACAGCACGCAACCCTGTCTAACATCTCTCTTGATTTCTATAGTTTCTGTATCGACATTTTTAATTCTAACCTTTATCATTTGAATCCAGTACAGATTGACATTAACCCGTATATCTCAACTATCCACATTCTTTTGTTTTAACAGTTTTACGAGTTTGTGATGTCGTACTATATCAAAAGCCTTTTAATAATTTATAAAGCAGACGTAGAGATCCTGGTTCATATCTAGTCGTCTTTGCGCTAGAACGTTAAAAGCGAACAGAGCCTCTCTCGTTCGCAGTCCTCCTCTGAATCCGAACTGGGTGTTATCTATATCTTCTTCTATTTTTTTGTATAGTCTTTCATTTGTTATTTTGAGAAATATCATAAGTGTATGGCTTATTAAGGAACTTGTTCTGTACTGGGAGCATTGTGTCGCATGTACTAACATTGGTAGTGTTACAAACGTGGACAGCAATCAATCTTCGGGTATTACTCCTGTTGTTGAACCGATCTAAAAGTATATACAGTGTTTCTTCGTCAATGCATTAAATTAGCTCAGTGGGTGTTTGATCTGAGCCTACTTGCATTTCCAATTGCCTGTTCCAATTCGCGCATTATTATTTTTGGTCCTGTTTGTTCCTTTGTTCTTCTTGTATCATTCTATCATCGTCGAATAGTTTTATTATGTATTCTTGCCCAAATCTTAGTTTATCTTTGATGTCTGCAATGAGTTTACCATTATTATCTTTGAGTATCCCATAGTGTGCTTACTTTTTGATATTTGTTGGTTCTTTTATTTTTTATGCATATTAAAGCTCTTCTATTTTCTGTCATACTCTTTCATTTTTATAAATTGATCTGTTAACCACTTTTCCTTACGAAACTGTTGACAGTTTCGTCTTTGAGTAAAATAAGATTATCTCCTTCGTTTTTTATTTTTCCATCTTTTCTTTACATCTCATTTTTAAGTTAATATTTGCGATAATTGGAAAACAAGTAAAAGTTTGATATCGTAATTTAATTTTTTTTCATTTTAATTAATTTTCTGTTGCAGTCATTTTTTGATTTTCTGTTGCAGTTATTGTCTGTGACTGTACATTATATCCAATTGTATTTCAATTACAAACTCCATTAAAAACCTTTAGACAATATCTTGTATCATATGCGTTTTCAGCATCAATAACTACGATATGAGGATATGATATCTTATTTTTATATATTCTTGTATATTTAGTTGTAATATAAAATATGGAAAATATACAAAAAAGAAAAGTTCTAAAACATCAAAGGCAAGAAGTAATTTATAACGGTGTAAAATTTAAAAAAAATGCTTAAGAGTCAGTACAGTTAGCTTATACATATTCCGTATATGTATTTACATGTAAGACTTTTCCATTGGTCCTTTACGGTACTCGGCAATATTTCAACCAATATTCGGCGAGGTGCTTATATAATATCAAGTGTTACTTTGGTGCGAAATTCATATGGGGAATGTTAAATGTCCGTAAACCAAAAAAGACGACAAAAAGACGATTTTGAAATATTTGTAATGTACAAATAAAGAAAACTAAAACAATGCAATAGAAAATAAAACAAAATATATTAAAAGAAATTATAAAAATTTTTAAATGTATAAAATGTAATATTTATGGGAAATTCAATGTCCTTCGCATGTTTAATTGCATTTGTTTGACTTGCTGAGATGTTAGATAAGAGACTGGGACGCCCTTTTAACCTTTTTTAGAAGGTTCATCTTTAGGTTATCGTCCAAATGCTAATCTTTTTGACCCTTTAGTAACCCCCAACTTTCTTCGGCTAATTGAAGTTGATTGCACTTTTATACTGGCTCTGTGTCCAAATCGCCGTGCCAGGAAACTTCCTGCCGTGTTTAAAAAACTTTTCCAAGCCACGTTTGTATTAATATCATCGAGCAATAAGACAAAAGAGGGAATCTAATCCTTACTGATCCACTGATCCTAAACTCTGGTTTTCAAATATTGTTCTATTTTAGAGCTTTTCAAGATCCAACTCAGTTTTACAAATTCTGCCCACGCTAATCTTATTCTTCTGGTAATTTCGACAGTTTGATTTTCTTTGTTATCTTAGGTTCCGTTTGGTTACGAGGCTTAATATCGGTTCTTTGAGCCTTGTTTCCTTTTAAAATGGGTAGTATGCTTCCTCTTTACCCCAAAGGGGTAAGACCCCAACAATTATAGAGGTATAAACATTAGGGATTCAGATTCGGAAGATCTTGCGTAGACGCCGTATTTGTACTAAGACAAATCACAGAAAAAGCCATGGAGTAGAATAAACCAGCATATCTATGTTTTATAGACCTGACAAATGCTTTCGATCGCATCCAAGTCGAAGACGTCTTACACCTACTATATAAAAGAAACATCTATCTAATCTAATTAGCCTTCTTCGGTCCATCTTTGGACATAGGCCTCCCCAATCCTTTTCCATTCTTCTCTGTCTGTCGCAACAGTCATCCATCTAGAGCCCACGTGCTTCTTGATATCATCTGCCCATCTCATTTGGGGCCTTCCTCTGCTTCGTTTATATTCCCACGGTCTCCAACTTAAAAGAGTTTTGTTCCATCGGTCTTATTTTTGTCTTATATTGTGTCCGGCAAATCTCCATTTCAATTTTGCAACTTCTTGTCTAACATCCCTCACTTTTGTTTTCTCTCTTATCCACTCGTTTCTCTTCTTATCCATTGGTCTTATGTGCAACATTTGTCTTTCCATTGCTCTTTGGGTTTTTATGATTTTGTCCATGTTTGCTTTTGTAAATGTCCACGTTTGGGAGCCATACGTAAGAACAGGGAGTACGCATTGATTATATACTTTGGTCTTAAGATGCTGTGGATATCTTTTGTTTTCAAGAATGTAGCTTAGTTTGCCAAATGTCGCCCATGCCAGTCTAACTCGTCTCTTGATCTCTGCTGTTTGGTTCTCTTTGTTAAGTTTTATAGTTTGACCAAGATATATATAATCCTTAACTTGTTCTATTTCATCTTGTCCGATTCTCATTGTGATGTCTTCATCTGTATTTGTTATAGTTTTGGTCTTGCTGTAATTCATATTAAGGCCTATCTTTCCAGCTTCTACGTCCAGTTCTTTCATCATTTCAAATAATTCATCTTTTTTATCGGTTATCAATACGATGTCATCAGCGTACCTTAGATGGTTCATGCGTTGTCCACAAATTTTTATACCTTTTTTTTCCATTCTAATCTTTTAAAAGTATCTTCAAGAGCCTGATTGAAAAGTTTCGGTTATATTGTATCACCCTGTCTCACGCCTCTACTTATTTGTAATGATTTTGTTCCTTCATAATATACTTTAATTTTTGTTTTGGCTATATATATTGGTTATTAGTTCCGTATATCTGTGGTCAATTCGGCTGTTAATCAAAGAACTTTTCACTGCCCAATGTTCGACACTGTCGAAAGCCTTTTCGAAATCTATGAACGCCATATATAGAGGAATGTGGTATTCATTTGCTCGTTCTATAAGTATTTTCATACTTAGTAAATGGTCACTTGTGCTGAATCCCTTTCTAAAACCAGCTTGTTCTTTCGACTGGTATCCATCGAATTTTGTCAAATTTTTGTTAGGAGTTTATACATTACATTGAGGAGTGTTATAGGACGGTAGTTTTTTATATCTGCTTTATCCTCTTTCTTGTGTAGGATAATGGTTACTGATTCCTTCCAGTTGTTTGGGATTCTTTTTTCTTTTAATATCCTGTTAAAAAGGGAATGTAGAGTATTAATTACCCATTTTCCACCATATTTCAGCATCTCTGTAGTTACTCCATCTTTTCCAGGCGATTTGTTGTTTTTCATTTCTTTCAATGCCTTCTTTATTTCTGATTTGCTTATTTCGGGCTGCAGCTCTGAGTTGACATTTTTTATTTTGACCTTAAGTTGGTTTTTAATTTCTTCTGGTGGTTCCTTTTTTGTTTTATATAATTCTGAGTACAAATGGTGGATTATATTTATGATGTCATCTTTAACGTTTGTTTCTATTCCAATTACATCTTTTATTTTGTTAATTTCAAACTTACCTAATTTCGGCCTTAAGCATTTCATATTTTTGTTGTTTTGTATTACTTCTTCTATTTTTATTTCTTGTTCTTTTCTCTTACTTTCTTTTATCATTCTGCTTATTGTTTTATTAATTTCTACATATTCTATAGATTTCCTTTTGCCTTCGTTCAGCTTCCTTCTTTTATCCATAAGCTTCTTTGTTTCTGTTGATATATAGTTGTTCTTTTTTAGATCCTTCTTTGCTATTTCTTTTCCTGATGTAATCATTGTTGCTGTAAGTATGTTGTCTATTTCGTCTATATCTTTATCGTCACTGTCTAATCTTTGGGTAAGTTGTTCTTTTAATAGGTCTTTGTATATCTCTTTATATTGACCTAGTTTGTTTCTATCTATTAGATTCCAGTTTCTACTTATTTTTCTTTTCATCTCATAGTTACCGTCAATACTAATTTTTGCTCTGACCATCCTGTGATCGCTACCTGTTGTGAATCTGTTAAGAACAGATTCACAACATACCAATCAATACAAAATACCAAAAGAAATATACCAATCAATATTATACAAACCATCGAAAACATTTACCTCCAAAATCGAATACAGGCAAAGATAAATGAAGAACTAACACAGTGTCTACCAGTACAAAGCGGAGTCAGAGAGGGTGACTCGTTGAGCCCACTTCTCTTTAATATAATAATGGACGAAATATTACAAGCAGTACGTAAAGGTCATGGCTACAGAATGGGGAACAAATAAATCCAAATAATATGTTATGCGAACGGCGCCGCATTAATCGCCGAGACAAAAAACGAGCTCCAAAGATTAACACATATTTTCAATACAACAGCTAAGAAATACAATATGATAATATCAACAGACAAAACCAAATGTATGACAACATCTAAATACCCACTATGGTGTAAAATCGAAATTGATGGGAAAATAATAAAGCAGGAAGCAAGGTTTAGATATTTGGGAATAGATATAAGTAGTTACGGAGATGTTGAAGAAGAAGTACGACAACAAAGCTTAAAAGTAAGTAAAGTGGCGGGTTCTTTTAATGACACAATCTGGAAGAACAAACACCTAAGACAAGACACAAAAACAAGAATCTATAAAGCAGCAATTAGACCTATATTAACATACACGGCGGAGACAAGACCTGACACATCTAAAACGAGACGACTGGTAGAAACAACAGAGATGAAAATGCTCCGACGAATATTAGGGAGAAGTCTATTGGATAGGGAGAAAAGCGAAAATATAAGAAGAGTATGCAATATAGATGACATAAACGGATAGGTAACAAAACGAAAACAGAAGTGGAACGAACATATCAGTAGAATGGCAGAGGATAGAATAGTACTAATAGCACGAGATAAGTTACCAAATGGACGAAGAAGTATTGCTAGACCAAGAAAAAGATGGTGGAACAATTTATGAGGCTAATATCGAAGAAGAAACAGGCTTCAAAGCCTATATACTAGAAGGAAGAAGAAGAAGATTTTCTTTGTTAACTTTCATTATCTGTCCCAGCTGGATGTTTTCGCTTACTGTCGTTCGATGTTATTTCTCTATTGATGATAATATTGATCAATGAGGTTAACTAATGAGAGCGCGCCATTTGATACTACTAACACCTTTAAGGCAGAAGTGATTAATTTGCAAAAAAATGATTTCCTACTGCGGTTTAAAGCTTGTCTACTGAAAAATAACAGAATAACTATTTAGATAACTGTTTCAAATCTTTTAATCTGTAGAATAAAAATACCATTCATTTTGACCCTTTTAATTGCAATCATCATTTGGATATAGTTTTATTATTTTTCCAATAAACAATTTAAAAGTAAATTTCATCCTCTTTTCATGCATTTTCCTTTAAAGTACTTTGTTAATTGATAATCCATAGCAAACAATAATAAGTAACCAGAACATGTATTCTTATTGTAAATAAAACATTTATAACAAACTATCAGACAAGACTTAGCAACAATTTCTGAATTGGCTAAAGATGTTCATCTTAGTCATGTATCATCTGCGCACCTCGACGCTCTTCGCTATTTTGGGCTAGTGTACTCTATTCCATATTTACATGGTTTCACTAAGCAGGTTTATGGCCCTGTAGTTTGTTGAATATCTCTTTTTTATACAGATAATAATATTGCATTTGTCGCCCTTTCCTAATTCGATTAAACAAACCTGTTAACCAAATTGTTTTTGTCTCTTCAACGTAGATACTTTAACGAAAAGATTAACATTTGTAAGTCAATAACACATAGACGACGTCCTCAACAGCAGATTGTTATTTTTACTCCAATCTTGTTTTGCACTTATTTCCAACTTTTCAGGAATGATTTTTTTATAACAAACTGTCAACATAACCTATCAAATTTCTATTTTCACAGAGTTGATCTCCATACATTGCTTCTTCTTCAACTCGTAAATCTTTATTTATAGTTGGATAAACAAAAGTATTTTTTTGTTATTTGTTGGTATTTACAACTATTAAAAGCTTTATAATAGTGAATAAGACAGTGTGTGACTTAATATTGATATTAAAAAATCATGGTTTACTGATCTATTTATTCATATTTTTTACAGTTGATTTGAAGACTTGTGACGATACCAAATATGCACCTTGCAAAGATAAGGGAATACCATGTGTAAAAAAAGAAGAAAATATTCCCAGTTCAATAGGTAATGCTCCGGTAACTACTTCTGTAGTAAACAAAAATTTAACTGCAAATAGCGAATCACCGTGTGCACGTTTCGGCTATCCTTGTAGCAAAAATAAGAATGACACTTCAGGGTACTTACAGGAAGATACAAATATAATTCAAGAGGATGGTAAGATGGATGCATCGACAGAGGATACTGTTATTAAGATCGATAAAGATATTGGAAGTGGAATTATATGCCCAATAACAGCTGCATTTGAGGATGTAGGAGAGGTAAGATATATTAAAATTACATAATTTACTTTTGTACTTTTTTGCGTTCTAAGGCACAATGTTTTAAGGTTTTGCTATTAGTGTCATCTTATGTCAAGTAAAATATAAATTATTGCATTAGTCACTGATATAAATAATTTTAAGCACTGTATGAGACCTTTTCCTGTTAAGCACGTATCAACTAACTGAAGACACAAATTATTGCTTTAATTATGAAGACTTTTTTATGGTTAACTGTAAATCTTGGTCATTTACTGACTGTATGGTTTAGTAGTTTATTCCGAAAACATTGAATAATGTTAATACTTATTACATTGTTCTATGCACCTCCAGAGTCGAGTCGAGTTGTAACACGACAGTATTTTAAGAATACTTCTTGGTAAATGGAAATTATTATTTTGTTATTGGTAGACAGAGTAGAATTTCTTCTAATGGGCTAGTTAACTTTCTTTTTTAAGACCAAGTTTTTTACGTGCGTTTTCAAGCTTGTGTCCAGAGTTATCAAGGCAGTTCTTTAATATAGAATACTGTTCTTTATGTTTAATTTTTAGGGGTTGCTTGATAAATAGAATTTCACGCCATGATACTTTGATTCCAAAAGACTTGGGTACAAAACCAGTCGTAGGAGTCCTAAAAATACCAGGTCATGACTCAAAAATAGCCTGGATGCTAACACAACATAACTCTCACTTAGAAAGTATGCCTGGTCAAGCACATGGTAAAATAGAGGTTCGAACTGATATGCTTTCTTTTACTGATATAACATGCTTTCTTAATGAGCATGCACCTATCAAGAGAGATCTGTATAAATTGAGATAGTTTTATGGATACTTAATCTGCAGGTGGTATAGCAAAAACCCTAGAACTGTCAACTATATCATAAATGAATACAAGTCACCAGATCTTATGTAACAAACACCTTTTAGAGACTACCAAATGATTTCAAAGTATTTGGTACTTATGTTCTAGACCTTTAGAAACTAGTACAGGGTTCCAGAATTCTGAAATAAATATTATGAATGATTTTAAATTGTGCATTAGGCCAATTTGCAGAACAACTAGTTTATAATGGACAGCTTTCAAAAAAGTCCTTGCTTAGGCTAGACGAACCTACGTACATTCCATCTCATAATACATTGATTTGCCATTTCTCTTTTTGAAACAAATAAAATTTTAAATTTAGTCTCATCGATAAATGTTGTCTCAGTACTACAATGAGACACTTATCAGGACTATATATACGCTTCCATTTAAATAACATTTCTAATTGTCGCTTTATTATACACATAATTTCAACAGTTATGCATCACCCTTCGTATTCATGATTTTTACATCTTTATTAAGCCTTAGCCTGATCATATGTCATGATCATGTATTCTACCCAAAAGTCAACCTCACCTTCATGTTGGTGACCCTTGTTATCACAAACAAGGCTCTGATGACCGAGTATCATTGGAATTACTGTAACATCTGAAATTAAGGAAATGTAATTTTAATTCATATTAATTTATTTTAATTTACTTAATTTCATTCAAAGCATGTACCAAGCAGGCAAAGCAGCAAATAGTATTCAAGAAATGACTCTTCTGAACATAGATATTTTAGGATGTAATGAAGTTCGATCACCAACTTCTCGAATGAGAATTATAGATGAACTTCTTCTTGTTAACGTGTCCTATCAAGTCCCCTTGACGTTGGCGATTAACATGACGAAACTGTCTCTGTCTCGAGCTATTCTAAATAGTTGCTCAGCTTTCTTTATTCCTGTCCACTCCCTGATATTCTTCAACCAAGAGGCCTGCTTTCTACCAATTCCTCTGCGTCCTTCGGTTTTACCCATCATAATAAGTTAAAGAATATTATATCGGTCTCCCCATACTACGTATCCAAAATAGGCCATCTTTCTACATTTGATGTTATCAAGCAGCTCGCGAGCAGTATTTGCTCCTTTAAGGACTGCCACATTTGTCAGCATAGCCGCGCATGGAATTTTTAGTATACGTTTGTGCAGCCACATCTTAAAGGCCTCCAGACGATTAATGGTGACTAGTTTTAATGTCCATGCTTCGACACCGTATAAGAGGACTGACCAAATGTAGCATTTAACCATGCGCTTTCGAAGTTGAAGTTGCAAGTTATCATTACAGAAGAATGACCTCATTTTTAAAAATGTCGTGCGGGCTATCTCAATTCTAAATTTTATCTCTTGATCTAGATCTAGTTGTTCAGTAATATGGCAACCAAGATAATTAAAACTGGACACTCTTTGAATTATATGACCATCAACATATAATCGTGCATCTTGATGTGCTAAAGTGCTAAACACCATGTGTTTTGTTTTTGAACAGTTTATGTTTAGGCCAAACTCTCTTCCCACTTTATCAATGGCATTTAAAAAGCATTGTAATCCATTCATGTCATCACTTAAAATAACTGTATCGTCTGCATATCTGATTGTATTTATCAGAATTCCATTAACTTTCACGCCCCATTCCAAATTATGCAGCGCTTCTTTAAATATTATATCTGAATTTAAATTAAATAACAGTGGGGATAGTATACAACCCTGTCTGACCGGATGTTGGCGATCATCAAGGCTATCATGGTTTTGTTGACTGCACCGCGAAACAGCTCAGCTGTGGTCATCCCAAACCATTGTCGGAGATTTTTCAACCACGAGATACGACGGCGTCCCGGTCCTCTTCTGCCAAATACTTTACCCTGCATAACGAGTTGAACAATTCGATATTTTTCTTCGTTCCGTATCACATGGCCGAGGTACTCAAGCTTACGTTGTTTAATTAAATTAAGAACTTCTTTTTCTTTTGTCATGCGCTGTAGGACCTCAACGTTGGTGACATGGTCCACATAAGATATTTTTAGTATCCTACTGTATAACCACATCTCGAAGGCTTCGATTCGTTTTTCAGTGGCTTGCGTCAGTGTCCAGGCTTTAACTCCATATAGTAACACTGGAAGAACGTAGCACCTCACTATCTGCATCTTGGTTCCCAAACTGAGATCACTGCAACACAGCAAGGATCTTAACTTAATAAATGTAGACCGTGCCATTTCATTTCTAGATATAATCTCTTGAGCGTACTCCCATTGTGAGTTGAGGGTAGTTTCGAGGTAGGTAAGTGAATCTGTCGACTCTCTGGATCTCGTCGCTACCTGCCATTAGTGCCCCGGGATCTAAATTTGTACGGCTGACAACCATGAATTTAGTTTTCTTAATATTAAGGTTCAGTCCGTATGTTACGCTTAAAGTTCGCACTCGGTCTAGTAAGGCCTGCAGATCGTTTAGGCTGGTTGCTAGTAACACAGTGTCATCGGCGTAGCGGATATTATTGATGTATTCACCGTTCACACGGATTACCATCTCTAGGTTTGTACTTGTGTTTGGGCTTCAGTAAAAATCTCCTCAGAGTATATATTGAAAAGAGTCGGCGATAGCACACATCCTTGTCTTACTCCTCGCATAATCTTCACTTGGTCGGTCAGCTGGTCTTCGACCTTGACTTGAGCACGCTGGTTCCAGTATAAATTTATAATGTCCTTCTCATCCAATCCTACTCTTTGTAGGGCGGTGACCATCTTCTGGTGGTGACAACGGTCAAATGCCTTTAGCGATAATAGTGTTCTTTTTTTTTCCTTATTTCAGTATGTATTCAGGTCTTCGTTCATTTGGTGACATGTCGTGCTATTCATATTATTCTATCCTCTGCGATTTTACTGATGTGTTCGTTCCACTCCTGTTTTCGTTTTGTCATCCATCTATTTATGTCTTCTATATTACATGCTCTTCTTATGTTTTCGCTTCTCTCCCTATCCAACAGACTTTTTCCTAATATTCGTCAAAGTATTTTCATCTCTGTTGTTTCTAGCAGTCGTCTCGTTTTAGATGTGCCAGGTCTTGTCTCCGCCGTGTATGTTAATATATATCTAATTGCTGCTTTATAGATTCTTGTTTTTGGGTCTTGTCTTAAGTATTTGTTCTTACAGACTATGTCATTAAGAGATCCCGCCACTTTACTTGCTTTCAAGCTTTGTTGTCGTACTTCTTCTTCAACATCTCCATAACTAGTTATATCTACTCCCAGCGATAATAGTAAAAAGGAATATAGCTAAAGCAGTAATAGGATTTACGCCCATATCAGACATAGTTGTGATATTGAAAATTAACTCAAATCCCTCTAATATAAACATCATTCAGGTCTACGCAACGACATCAGAATCCACTGAAGAAGAAATAGAAAATTTTTATCAGACTTTAGAAGACTACCTAAAACTGACCAAAAAACATGAATTTACTACTATCATGGGCGATTTCAATGCCAAAATAGGACAAGGTACAGTCGAAAATGTTGTGGAATCATAGGGTCTTGGCATAAGAAACGAAAGAGGAGAAAGACTGATCCAATTCTGCCAAGATGATTGTAACGAATACTTTTTAAATTACACCCACAAACGCTTTATACATTGAAATCACCCAATGATACCCCAGGGAAAATCAGAAGAAACCAAATGGATTTTATCAATATAAATAAAAAATTTAGAAATTCTATCACCTCAAAAGCATAACATAGTCTATTGGTTGCAAATATCAACATACGACTTAAAATAATTCATAAGAAAATAAGGCCCAAGATAGAACAACTAAAAGACAATGACCTCTAGAAAAAAGTAAAAACAGAAATTAATAAGAATTTTGTGAAAATAGTTGAAGACACTACTAGAGGCATAGGAGAACAGTGGAACGAAATAACGACATCTATTACCACAATTTTGCATGAAATATTAAAGATGATGGAAGAGTGAAAAAATTAAAAGGTAAAAATAACAACGAATACAAAAAGTTGCATAAGACTATACTAAAGAAAATAAAACGAGTAAAAGAAGCATGACTGACGGAGAAATGTACGGAAATTGTAACACTACAACGCAAATATGACGATGTCCATATGCACAAAAAAATTAAAGAGGTAGAAAACAGAAAA